GTCTCGTCCTCATCCTCATTTTCTACCTTGCCATATTTCCCTTTATTCTCGCCAATTCATTCAGCTCCTCGTCTTCAGGTACTGGAAAATTCGCCGCCTGAGCGAAAGCATGAACGAATTTTGCAAGTCCCGCCCACCTCAGTGACTCTCAACTTTAGTGAAAGTATATTTCTTGGCGAAGACATCGAACCTGGATATGCCGTTATTGATGCAGGCGCCAATGGTACTAGAGCTGACTGCAACCTTAATGACAATGAGGGTGGCCGTAAATGTGGTGTTTGTATCGGAAAACTGCCACCATTTCAACTACTTTGGGACAATATACAGACATGGGAGAGATGCTGCGGAGTATTAAGCTTTCGTGACTATATACCCATCAGACGAATACCTCAATCCGGGAATGCGATGATCCCGCCTACCTGTTGCCACAATCCAAAGAACGAGGACTGCCAGCGAAACCCTAATCTTTTCAATAGCTACATTGCATGGTCTTGTGATATGGCGATATGGAATCGTATTGCCGAATCCTATGAATTTGTTGTCACATGTCTCAGCTTTTTCCAATTCTATCTCTGCATTTTTGTGATTCTCCTCGTCATGGCTGCCCTGCTCGCCTGATACATGTGCAGTCACCTCAATATCTTGCCATCTCGTTTTTTTGTATCAAACAAAAATTATTTCAGCCCTTCTTCAGTTAGAACTACATTAAATCTGCTAACCTTATTCCTCAGCCATTTGTATTTCGTTGTGACGTGACTAGCCAGTTGGGAGGAAGCATTGGTTGTAAGGAATTCGTGAAATGGTCGCATCAGAAACCGAAGGATGATTGCCGCGGAGTGAAGACTGTTGAAATGTGCGAGGAAACCCTCAGCTGCCCGTCCTGCAAACCTAGTGAACCTGAACTAAGCCCTCGTCTTTATCATAACAAACATAATCAGAGCAACGAGCTTTACTTTACGAACTAGCGCACCAGAATACTCAACCAAGAGAAAAGGTGACAACCATAGTCTCTTCTTACACTTAGTCCTACGATCTTAATGAGGCATCCCAAGATATGGTTGGTTGACTCAATCTTATTCTACATGTGTTTTGTTGAGCGTTTGATGAAGAGATTCGAAGGTCGATCCCATCGGTTATCGATTCCGGTCAAAACGTGCTAAGCTATCGTCTGTTGTATGATGAACATCATCAGAGCAGAGTATCATACTTATATTCTAGTTTGGTAGATTGAATGAGAGAAGGTGTTGAGCCTCCATCCAAAATAAGGCGACTTAATTTGTCTGTTCAGTAATGGTTCTAAATTTACTCACATTTGCCCAAAGTGTTAGATTAACGTATAAGAGTAGGGTTTGAGGACTATCAGTAAATCAGTGTAATGAGATGTATTCACCCTATTTCGTCTAAGGTGATGAAGGACTGGTAGT